AAAACTTTCAAGATTAGAATTGAAACGAATGAATCCACTAGGTTATATATAAATTCTTTACAATGAAGCATATTAGAAACTTATCTATTACACAAGTAGGTTATATATAAATTCTTTACAATGAAGCATATTAGAAACTTATCTATTAGACAAGTTTTAATATCACGAAATGGTAAACATAACAAAACTAACCCCATAGTCAAATATTGATTGAGCATTTCTCAACAACAATAATAAAAATAAAAATAAGAGAGAAAAATATATATTAATTAATATTTTAAAAAGAATTTTTAATATATATATAATACATAATTGTACATAAACGTTCATAATTAAATTATTATTTTATTAAAAATAAAATTTATTTTAATTTAGCATTTATTTATCTATCATCGATTATATTATATTATATTATATATATATATATATATATATATATATATATTCATTTTATATGTTATAAAAAATAAATAAAAAATATGAGATTAAATTTATCTTTTTAATTTTATAAATAATTAATAATATATTTATAATTTTATTTCTGTTGCTTATAATATTTTTCCACTCAAACAAAGAAATGTTATTTGCTCTCATGCATTGATGTGTTAAAGGAACATGCTATGTTGGTATTAGACCACTCTTGTTAACTCCTAATTCCTAATCTCTAGTTGTGTTATTGAAGTAGTCATTATGGGAATGTTTCCTCATCACATCACATGTACTTAGACTTTACATATTTTTTTTATATATAAACAAGGACTTTGTTTAGAAATGAAAAGTGCACAACGATCTAATGATCAATTTAGTTTACACAATTATAAAAGTTTTAATTTAATTTTAAAATTTAAATAAGGTAAAATAAAATTATTAATTTTTTTTTACCTTTCTATCATTTTTTTTATTTTAAACAAATATTTACCAATTACTATTATAGTATAATTTAATTAGTTTACATTATAATAACATTCAATTTATATAAAAATTAATTAGAACAAAATATTAAAGAAATTTATTTTTAAAACACAAAAAAAAATATATACTTAAAAAAAACTATTGAACCATAAATAATCATTGTATATTTCAATAGCCTAATCCTTCCCAACATAACATACAAATTTCAAGTTGGAATCTTCACATATATCTGAGTGTCCAATATTGCAATAATATATATATATATATATAACAAGTAAATTATTATATATTTCTCTGTCATCTCATTACAAATTTCTCTTATATAAATAACATTAAATCATGAAAATAAGGAGAGGTTTCACTTAACTCCTCTTACTAAAAAATAATAAAAGGATAAATTTATATATATATATATATATATATATATATATATATATTGATAAGAAAATAAAATATTAATCATAAAAATGGTAAAAAGTCTTACAAGTAATTGTAACAATATTAAAAAATACAATCTTACTATTTGTAAAAAAACATCACATCAATAAATACTACACATGTTAAAAAAATATCACTGTGATTTCATTAATCATATGAAGAACAAAGTATACTTTAAACATTCCAAAATGTTATAATAGCAAAATTTTATTATAATAATTTATAGTTTAAAAATTGTTGTTTTCTATATTTTAAGTTTAAAATAAATTATTTTGAAATTTTAATATTACTTTGAAATTGATTTAAACATATCTCTTAATAGTTCAATAGTAATATTAATAATGATTTTGTTAATAATAATATTAATAAAGACAGTTATATTATTACACTATTGAAAATAAAAATAATAAAAATAAAGATTATTATGTTTTTATTCTAAAATTTAAGATAAATAAATTTTCAATAATTTAAATTTAAAAAACATTATTTTAATCCCTGTATTTAGTAAAATGTATTTTAACCCTTAATTAAATTCTAAAACAAAAAAATAATTTTAATCTTTCAAATTAAAAACTAATTAAACCTAAAAGTTGCATATTTTATAGCTAAAAATAAAAATATTTTGTTTCTAAGTTTCAAATTTGAATAAAAGTACTCTGAAATTGAGTATATCCATGTGACTTCCATTTTTTAATTAACCATGTCTTGAGGCCGAGGCTGGTCGAAATTGAAGTCCTTCATTCATTCATGTCTTGGTGTTGACATGGACCAACATTTAGTCCTTTTACACACTCTTTCATACACATGCTGGGTCCACGCTATGACTTTGGGTCCATTTCATGTAGGTCCAACTTTGAAAAAAAAAGTCTAAAGACCTTATTGTAAGTACACAATATGATGTTATAAAAAAGAAGTTATATATAAATAAAAAAAAGATGAGAAGGAATAAAATTATAACTAAAAGTGTTTAGTTTAAGAAAAACAGAGAAAAAATAATAAAGGTAGATAAATAAAAATACATAAAACATAATAAAGTGGATTCCATTATTTTTAAAAGTAAATTTTTCTTCTTATTTTCACACACCAAATCCAACATTAATTTTATCTCTCACATTTTTTTCCCAACCAAAACAATGGTCATTAAATATTTGTCCAAATACTACCCATTTACCTTATTATTATATTCGTTATTTTGTGAGAAAAAATTCCTTCAATTATTTGTAAAATAAGGATATAATTCTTTAAAGCAATTCTTATTTGTTCGTTTAAGATAAATATTATTAAAATTTTGTATGGCGAATTAATATAATGATTTCACATTCAATTGTAATTAAAACGGAATATTATATATGTTTGTTTGTTTTCTTATTTCATTCTTAATTACTCTCAAAATCACTCCATAACATAAGAAAAATATGTGAAAAAGAGAGAAAGAAGATGAAAAAGAAAGTAAATATATATTTATTGGAGTATTTTAACAATGAATCTCTCTTTAATTTTTTATATATCAAGTTAGATTAAAAATGTTGACAACTTTTTATTCCAATAATATAACTATTAAAATTTAAAATTGTGCAAAAAATAGTATTTTAATATTTTCCACTAGTTCTTATATAAAAAATGTTTTTATATATCACAAATTCTCACTATGTCTACTTTAATGTGAAACCTAGATAAAAGTTAATAATATTTTTGAATTTTAAAAAATAATATTTAAGACACTTTAGGATTTATAGGTGAAAAAGTGAGTTATAAGTCATGAATTATTCATTATACAAGATCATATTGTCACTAATTAATTTGATAAGATATGATAGATATTACAAGGGATTGGAATTTTTCATTTTCATTGATAATTTTTTTAGTATATTTAGAGTCATAAATTTCTCAATATGTTAATTCTAATTAATACACCACTATTAATTATTAATAGTTATATTAATAATATTCATAAATGTAACGAACACTTGCGCCAAATAGCTGATGATGAAGATTAAACTTAAATAAGAGGTTGGTCCTATATTCATATGAATAAAATCCACATAAACTTCTGTTAATGTTTTCTACGCTCTTCACATGTTATATAGTTTTTCTTAGTGAAAAAACATTGACTTAAAAATTTTACCCCGATGAAAAGGTACGTAAATAAATGTGTAAAGCAGATGTGAAAAAGAATATTTCTCTTCTTTCCGAAAGTGATCTCGTCCATGTATCACGAGACAGTTGCTTATGCCGCACGTCTTCGTATTGTAAATAATATAAAAATAGGAAATATGAACCTCATGTGTTTATATTTTATTGAGACAAGATGAACATAAATTGTTTTTGGACAACCATGACTATCGTTATGATATGAGAAGAAATAGAAATGAAACATATTCAAGTATTATTATCCTTTACAAGAAATGTCTTTGCATATAATTTTTCTCAGTCAATTGTACCACAAATTTCGTACTATAGAGTTCCTTAATAGAGAAGGAGAAATATATTTGATTCTGAAGTAAAAAACTTAAAGTAGACAACCTATTTGATTACATGTTTTTATGAAGGAAAATACTATGAAGTACGAATTCGACGAATTCATATATGAAGTAACTACCACCCGTCAATTCCGTCAAATAGTTTGTTTTTATTTCTTATGAACGTGTGGTTTTCGTATGATTAATGTAGAATTTGCCTCGTACCAGAAGAACATTGTGTATGAGTGTGGTATACATTGCGAAAGGAGAGACCTTTTTTTTAAAAAGAAGAAGAAGGAAATTAACTAGAAATAGAAAAAAAAAAAAAAATAGTCGAATAACAGAGAAGCAGAAGTCAGGCATGGTTGTTCAGTGATTGTGTCGAAGCAATTGCTGGTGGATTGCTCAAAACCAACATCAAGAATCTAGTTCTGTTTGAGGAAACTTTTTCCAAAGGCTGCTTTTGCATTTGATTCATCGATTTCTCGTAACAAAACAAAATCTAGCACCTGCATATGCTACCCACCATGCCTCCACCACTTTACTTCTTAACAACTAAACCCTAAAGTTTTTGAGTTTACCATCATCATATATTCTTGTACTCCAGCTTTACTCTATTTTTTTAGTCTTTTAAAAACATAGGTTGACTGGTACATTTGGCATAACGTCAACACACACAGAGACTAAATCTTTGCATTCTAATGATGCCTACTATTGTAAATAATATTATTTACTTCTGGAGAGGACCCACATCACTTAGCCACTTACTGCTTAGAAACCACAAAGATTGTATTATAAATTTTAGAGGTAAAGTAAAGAAACTGGAGAAAAAGTTGAAAAGGAAATTCGATCTAAAGTGAAGATGCAGAAACAAAATATTTTTCAATCATTCAAAACTATCTGGTAGTCCTTGAATTTGAGAGAGCTAAGTTAAACACACCATCAACCAGAAACACATTCAGACGGAAGCAAATAATAGAAATAAACTGAGTGGGAAAAAAAATAAATCTAATGCTACCTACACGTACATAGTCTTCAATTATCCACCCCAAAACAACCGAACAAACGCGAAAGAAAAAGACTCTAGAATACAGATTAACATCTATGAACTATAGATAAAGGAGGTCTATATTTTTAACGCTAAACGAAAACAGTGAATAAAAGAGACGAAAGTAGAGTTACTGCTGTTAATTAAGGATATGCTCCACTTGTTGTGGGAAGATCAGACCAGGAAAGGGTTGGATTCCAGCACCCGAATTCACTGCCAGAAACTGAAGATGACTCCAAAATGTTGGACAAAGAAGAGGAAGAAGTCATGTTGCCTAGAAACACTGGTGAGTTATCACTGCCACAATAATTAACTGATGATGATGATGACCTGAGCTTCTGGTAAAGTTCTTGAACTCCACTACTTTGATGTTCTCCAAGTACAAAACCGTTGCTTTGTTGCTGAATCTGATCTTGATTATTGTTCCTCCAAAAGGAGCTGCATAGACCCAGTGAAGGAAGTTCTCCCACACCATCATAGCCTACACTAGTTCTAGTACTATTCAACAACCCATTTGCGAGCAATGGCTCAGTGACCATGTGGGAGTGAGATTCCATTAAGTTCCCTTCTCCCTTGACAGCAATTGACATGGGACTAGGGTTAGGGTTAGGGTTTCGGTTTTGGTTTTGGTTATGGTTATGGGTAGCTCTTAGTAAAGCCATCAGTTGAGTATTTTGCGGTGAACCCCACAGGATTGGGGTTTGTGGAAGGTCTTGGTCAAAGAGTCCCTGAGGCCGTGCGAACTCTGATGCCACTGCTTTCATCTTTGTGGCGGTCTGCTTTGCCACAGAGTTGGACATGCCGGAGCTCTTGCTTTTCCGGCAGCCACCTCCGATGGGAACATTCCTGAGGGCACCGCCTTTGGTCCAGTACCGGCGACATGTCTTGCAGAAGTGGCGAGGCTGAGTGAGGTTGTAGTTGTTGTAGTAACAAAACTTTGTGTTTGATGAATCACAACGAGGGCACCTCAAATTTTGGTTGTCCGAGTTTGACGAGGTGGCGGTGTTAGTGGAAGTAGTGATAGTTGATTTGCAAGAAGGAGATGGAGAAGGAAAAGATGGTGTGGGTGGTGTTACTAGAAGTCCTCCTCCTCCTCCACCATTATTAGTGGAGATTTTTCTTTCTCCTGCTACGAGGGTAGCAGTAGCAGCACCCAACAGTTCTTGGATCATCTTTATCTTTTAGATCTACAACAATCCAAAAACACGCAAAAGCAAAAGGGTGGTGTGGTGATGAGTGGCGAGTCTTTTTGCGCTAGTGGTGAGAAAAGCGAAAGAAAGTAGGTTTGGTATATATCTGTGTGTATGCGGGAAATGGGGGGAGAGAGAATATTGTAGAATGGGTTGGGTTGATAGAAGTATATGATGGAATTGAATGAGCTTGGCGAATTGAACTGAATTGGGTTGCTTCGTTGTTTTATGCTGCTAGCTAGGACTGCTTCCTTGTCGGTTAGGTCCTTCTATAGAATGGGGTCTTCCATCTTATTCTCTCTAACTATTTTTATAGACTCCATGTGGACGAACACAACCATCACTTATATCACCCATCTCATAAACGACAATTCTATTCATCTTCCAATTTGTATTTCCAGACAACCTTTGTTTCTTATCTTTCTTAGTCTATCCTATTCATTCAAATTAACCCAACCACACCAAAATAAAGTCATCCTAGCTGACATTTTTCACAAACGTGGGTCTTATTCTTGTTGAAGTTATTCAAATCCTCGTTTGATGGACAACTTAGTTATCTAAACATACCCCTCCTTAACAAGTCAAAGAGCTTTATAACTTCGAGTGGATAAAATCTCGTTTGAATGAATTGCAAAAAATATCCTCAATTGTTGATCCAGACTAATCTTTTTTTAGGAGATTAAAGACACTGAATCTTCAACTTGGTTTTGTCCATAAAAAAAGTGTTTATATTAAACCTTTAATTACTTGCTTAAGACTCGGGTTCATCACAACTCGACCATTATTTTTTTTCTGTGTTGAGAGTATATTAATGAATTTAAGCGCTCAATAACGATATATATCACAAGTTTTTAAAGTACAATACATTTTTTCTTGTTTCTTAAACTTCATGATTACTCTTATCTTAGTTTTCAATCACATTTAGAAAACATATATTAATGCCTTAATCATTACACTTATTATGTCATACGTGTGGTCTTGAAGAAGCAATTATGTAAGAAAATAAATCATTTTGGCTGAGCCACACTTAGGACTCTAATTGATGCCGATAAAGACTAGTCATTGCTTTCCAAGTATCGGAGTAGTTTTATCTTCCTTTTTTATATGCATGCACACAACATTTCGTAGATTTTAATTCGTCCTTTTTTTCCCCTTACGGATTTTTATCTTAATTTGGTCTAAATTTATATGTGCCATAAATTCTTCTCCTAATTAGGAATAAATGTATATAAGATTTTTAGTGTCTGGGTGAACATGTGGGAGTGTTATGCTTCCAAATACTAAGCATATATCTTTAATGAATCATATATATAATCAAAATAAAGCAGCAATTAATAGAGTAGTAATGAAGGTTTTCTTAAATAATAATCCTCTTCTTGTGAGGTATAATGAGTTTCGTAGGTAAAGATGCTCCATGTGTTCTAAAAAACATCATTGCAACTTCAAGGAGATCATAGGATAGGGGTAATCACGTGGAAGTACGTGTAAAGCTGATTGTCCCTACTGCACACCCCATTCATTTCGAATTCTTAACAAAATCAAGAACACTAAATAATTTATTAGAATAAATTTTTTAATACACATTTTTTCATACATTTGCATTCTTCACATCACACTCCTTTTGTTAAAAGTATAATTTTTCGTTACAATTATATAACAGAGCATGGATCCATGTCCAAAATTGACATGAAAGAAAGACGAGAATATTAAGCTATTTGAAGGTGAAATAAAAATAAAATGAGAAAAAGAACAGTAAAGACATTCATAAACCAATATTGATTTTAAATAATGAAGTACAATATTTATATATAATTGTCATGGTAGGTAGGGGATCTAGCAATGATTATGCGCTTCCTTGTTAATTTCCAAATTCCTCGCTCCACTTTACCTAACGTGACTTAATAGAATTTTTAGTTCTATATTATCATATTACATACTTTTTGTATGCAAATATTTTTATTATTTATGATTTAATTATATATCATAATTAGTAAATACTTTATATATTAATTTTTTTAACGATTTATTGAAAATAATATTAATAACTCGTATCCAAAGTTCAATAAATTGTTTTTCTAATGTCTCTTTAGCATTTATAATCCATTTTTAGGCAATGATATATACTTATTATTATTATTATTCTCTTCATTCCACCAGAAAGAAGAAAAAAAAAACTGTGATTAAAACCACTTTTGAAGATTTGAGCATGCACAAACCATTTTCTTAGACAGTTTTAAGGCAGAGATTCACAAAAACCATGCATCCCGTGGAAATTTATTGGGTCAACCCCGCACTTAAATGCATCATGCAAAAGTTTGATTTGGATATGTTATTGTTATCAACGTCATAAATAAATATTTAGAGATTTTTTTTTTAAATGAAGAGATTATCAAAATGAGTATATATAATCTTTCTCAATATTATATATATTAAAAACATTACATTAAGCTCTCCATCCTCTCAAATTTAAGCAAAAATCTAAATAATTTTATCAAAAAAAAAAAAGTTAGTTAACATCGTCAATGCTAGTTAAAAGATTTTTTTCTTAAATTATTATCTTTTATTAAAATATACCAAGAATAAACAGGAATATGATTTATTTTCTTATATTTGAGACTAATTTCATTATGCATATATATGGATAACTGTTAAGGAATAAAAAATAAAATTAATTATATTATAATATAAATAGTTGTTTGTAATACAATAAAATAGAAAAATAGTTCAATTTTTTTGAGAAAAACAATAATTTTCTCAAATATAGATATTATGAACAAACAATATGTACATATAAAGACACTTTACTAAAAAGTTTTTGTATAAAACATTCATCAAAATAATATAAGAGATTTGTCCGACACAAGATTAGATAAACAAAATAAAACAAAGTTGAATAAGCAATACAAATACTTTTATAATAACTTGTTTTTATCGTTAAAACCACGTCTAGTTTTTAGTAAATCACCAATTTCAACATAAGTTATATGTATTCTTTCTCAAACTAATTTTAGCGGATTTCATTTGACTCTCTAAGGATTTTCATTTTTATTCTAAAGCCTTTTCAGGCTTCAACAAAAATCACTGAGAAGTTGGTTAATAATAAGTCTCACAGTCCTATCATTACGCAAACGAATTACAATATTTTCAGAGTATTTTTAGTAAGATACAAATACTACAACTGGTTTGCACAGCACAGATAGAAAAAAGGTTGTTAAAGATAGAAAATATGTATGACGCACAGCACAGTTAAACGTTTCCAAACCAAAATTGGATGCACGACGGTTTGCATAGGAAGAGATGAGAAGGAAATTCCGAGTCTCGATCTCATACGAACGACTGCATGAATTGGGCAAAAAGCACAGTAGAAAACTAGAAGTTCTAAAAGGTAGAAAACAAAGACTAATGACTATAAATAGTGGTCTCCAAATGTTCATTCCATACTACTTTATACTGTTTTACCTGATGAAAAGAAGACAAATTGAGCGTCACCTTTATGTAATCTGTCATCTTGCCACGCATGAGATCATACGAACTGTAAGCATGTATTATTGAGCGATTACACACTGATCATGGTCATGAGGTGACAGAGTAACCATGCACAATCATCCAATCAGTTATAAGTAGCATGTTGTGTGAACAAGATGCTTCGCGTAGATTGCTGATCATCAGGCCATAGAAAAAAATTTCACCATGCATTTCACCCGAAAGTATTTTACAAACGTGAGTGTAAAAGACAAGAATAAGTTAGTTAAGAGGGAGAATGTGATGAAAAAGCTTATGGAAAAAGAGGGGTCTATATGTCTCCGATTTGCAGAACCATTTGTCAATTGAGATCTTGATTGATTGAGTAAGTGTGTTGATGATAATGAATGATAAAGTAATGAATGTATACTATCAATTAAGTTGCACGATAACATAACTATCAAAGCAACCAATTAATTGGTGAAATCTCAGCAAAAGTCTTGGTTGTTTAAAATATTATCTCCGATATTGTCTCTTGACTCTTTCTATGAAATCTAATGGAATTGATGGAGCACTATAGGAGTTATTACTATCAAAGCATTTATCCCCTATAAAAACCATAAACAGAATCCAACGTCCAATATTGTTTAGACTATTTTTTGACCGAAAGGTTTCACACTTGTTCCAACTTGGCAAAAGGTGATTAAAGTTTATAACATGTCCATTCACATCACATACAAAATTGTCGACCAAAACGTTGATTGGGACTAACCAAAGCAAACAAAGACTCTCCATATGCAAGCTTAGTGTGAACATACATATGGCAGCCAGGTAACTTAAACAAACACGAGAGTCATGGTTATATGAGCAATCAAGGAAATTTACTAGCAGACTATATTGGTCAATATATATAATTTTATACGGTAGATAAATAGATATAGAGAAATTAAAAAGTGGGAAGAAGAGGGAAAGGGAAAGTGAAAGGCAGAGAAAGTTGGAATATGAATTATTGGGATCCATGATTCGTAATAGGATGTGATGGATGTAGAAAGAAAGAACAGTGTTAGTGTGAGGAATGAACGCGCGTGCCGTCCGGAGAGGGAGAGTAAGTCAGATGAATGAGGATTGAGAAGATGAGAAGGACGTGGGTTTTGGCTTTTTGTTGTTTTTGTGTTGCTTTGCTAGTTGGTACATACATGCATGCATTGCATATTATATTACATGCTATGCTACAAGACTTAGCATTGGAGAGAGAGAGAGAGAGTGAAAAAGAAAGAAAGAGACAGTGAGTGAGTGTGTGTTTTTGCTGGTATGTTCAGTTGGAGTGCAAACTTAACTTTATTCTTTTCCTTTCCTAAACAATGAAAAGTTGGCATGCACTTGAGCGGGCAGAGCGGAAACGACGCCAGCTTTGGCTAAAGACGACACGTAGGGCAACGCGGGCAGTGCTCGCGGGCAGCCAAAGCATACTGTTTTTATATCTATCTCTAGTGTCGCCGTCAAGGGCCATGCCATTGCCTTCCTTCCTCTCCCCTTCTCTCTCTCTCTCCTTTTCTTCTGCATCCATTTTTTTTTTTTTTACTTTCACTTCCTCCTCCCCAACAATATGTACTTGCCATAAAATGATAATAATATTTGAGGTGATAATATTAGTTTGTTTTACGTTTATCTAGTTGAGTGTGTTTCAATTTCAATGACATTACAAGTCCTACGTAAATTTTAACTAAAATCTATCAAAAATATATGACCTCATGATTAATTTAGCATCCAGTTTCCACAAATATTTATTCTTCTGCTATATATATTCCAACAAAGATGGTATGACAGTGGTAGGATAGGATTATAGGAACATGGAAGGAAATGCATGCATGGTATGGTATGGTATGGTATGGTATGGGATACAAATTCAATAAACCCATATTCCTATATACATGGGTCATGGGCCCCTACTCATGTCCCATGTTTCTCCTTACCCAGCACTACAGCTTTCTCATGCCTCCCCTCTCATTTCGTCTTTTTCTCATTTTCCCAACTTTTTTCTTCTTCTTCTTCTTCTCTTCTTTTCCCCTTCCTTCACCTTTATGATAGATAGAACTTTGATCCTTAAATACCAATGGTGAGTGATAATTTAAGATTGCATGTGATTGACTTTTAATAATTAATGATGTTCATTCCCTATAAAATTTCAATATGGTATAAACTATTGATCCTCTCCCTTTGTTGATTACCATTATGTTCCATGTGAATACCAAAGTATATGAAACCCTTGGAAAGTGTCGTTACAACAACGAGCGTCACTATCGGATACCTATCTATCGATCTATATGTATAGTAGATGCAATAGAGAAGTGATTTAAGCTTAAACATTGCATGTCTTCTTTGTAGAGGCTAGGTCATGGAAGGAAGGAAGCTAGGTAGAACATAGCATAATCCTCAAAGGCAAAGGAAAAATTAATGTCTCATGCATCTTTGTAAAGAGATGAAGAAGAGGGGTCAATAAATGGTTCTTAGTTGAAGATTTTGTTGGGCATGTTGGAGGGTCCCTACCTTAAAAGCAGCAAAATGCGCTTACAATGAAATTGATTGAGGAGTGAGAATTGGAACGGAGTTTTGAAAGCTGACAAAAGCGATTGTTGGGAAGATTCCTTGGGCAGGAAAATAGTAAAATTCCATAGATCCCCTCCTGTGTCGGGTTTCTAATTGGAGTGGGGAGAGACCTACACCAGGAATTTCTCACATATCAAATTACAACTAACAAACCCACAACCAACAAAGTCGTTCACAGAATTTTCACTTTACTATTTACCAAGGACTTTATCCCTTCCCGACCTTTCTTTACATGCTTAATTACGCACTTTTAACCATAATTAATTAAGGAAATTAAAGTTAATTTTCTTAAATAATATTTGCATTTAAAAAAAGTTTAATATTTAATGTTTTTAATATATTCTTGATTTTTTTATTATAATACTAATAACTAATTAGTAAACCTTAATTAGACACTCATCAGCATACCATTAATCAAAGTTTTCTTTGACACATGATTTCGTTCATCTCATTTTAAATTTTACTATACTGTATCAAAATATTTATTAATTCTTTATGAAATCGATAAAAGTTAATTACTTGTTGGTATTATCCTACGTTCTAACTCTTTTTAATAAAGATATTTTTTGCGTAAAATATTTTACAATAATAATTTGTGCAATTAATAATTTTATTAAGTGTACATTATCTTAATAAATAAATAAATAACAAAAGAAGTTATGATTTACAGAAGAATATTAAGTTTTAAAACAAGTAAATATTATCCTTAAAAAAATATACTTAAAGCTAAATTAATGTTTATAAACATGTATGTTGAATTCTACAACCTGAAAATATTATCGATTTCCTCAAATTCAGTTCATATGTAATGTAATTATAACTAATAAATTAACCTTTTGCGACACTCACCCTAGCTGGTTTAAAAAAAATAGCAATTAATTAATTATATATATAGTCTGGATCTATCAGCTAAAATTAATATTGATGTTATCATATGCAGACTCAAAGATATGGATAATCATAGATATTTTATTATTCTTTTACATAATATTAGAAACTTAATAATTTTTTTTATTTAGTTTTAGTCTTTTTTTTATTATTGAAAAATAAATTCCGTGAAACATAAACCAATTTTAAATTGAAAATAGTACAATTTAATTTTATAATTCAACAACCCGTACAAGTTAAAAATATTTTTAATTTGGTATCCCTATAATTCTCGTCAAAAATAGTCTAAAAGTTGTGTCATCAATCTCAGAATTAGATTAATTAGTATCTGGTCCAATACAAATTTTAAAATTATCTACAGAATAAATATTTTATCTAATTTAATTTTATATGATATTATATTATTTAATACCTTAACATATTACATAAATTAAAATCATATTAATTATTATCAGTTGAAATGGTTCAAATTATAGTAAGATCAGTAAATTAAATTATTTATCTTCTACTTTATGTAAGTCGTGTGGACTTTAAAACATTGATAAATATTGTCTTGTAGGTGAAAATCCCATGGTAGTTGTATGATTCTATCATACTGTGCAAAAATATTATTATAAACCCTAAATATGGAGAATCCTCAAACTACGGTTTTTTCAATCTGTAAAAGGGGTGTGGTTTCATACAATTATTTGTACACAGTTTCTAGCCACCAGGAAACCGGGATAGTAATAAAAGCAGAAAACATTATAAAAACAATGCACTACTGAATCAAATTTTCGGACAATTAATGATAAGAATTGTTTAAGCAAACTCATATTCACCATTTGAGAAATCACTATCTGAAAGGGGCCCTTTTCACCTAACAACTAGTTACAGATAATTAACATCGCACGCTTAATTTGATTATTTAATTGTCTTATTAGAGCAATTATGGTTGTAATAAGTAAGTGGCTATAGTGTTAGTGATTGATGTATACTAGATAATGAATATGATTTTGATAATAAATTTGTCGTTTGTAATTTCTCCTTTGCTTGGAAGGGAGTTAATGGATAATGGGGTCTAAGTTATATCATTTCAAACCCTACACATAATATAAAGAATTCAAGTGCCATGTAGCTTCTGTTCTTGTCTCCACTTGATCCCAATTAATTGAGTTTTCTCTTAAATTCTATATTGATGTGGTCAACATACCAAGAGAAAGGAACAAACTTTGATATTTTTTAGGGTTTAATCTTGATGATGATTATACCTCTTAGCATTTTTGCCAATATTTGTCCCTTAACAATTAATCCATGACATTTACTGAAATTATTATTAATTAAGTGCAACTTATTTGTTAAAAATCATTTTTAGAGTCTCATCGTCAAGTTGTAAACATATTTTTTTAGGAGTTAAAAATAATTTTTAACATGATATTGCATAAATGATTAAAAATTTAACAAATATATAACTATTTATAAAGTTATAATACCATTTTAAAAAAATAACATAATTTTTTTATTTTAATCTTAATAATGATATAACTAATTTTAATTGTGAAAATTTACTCATGAGACATTATTTGACACGCATGCAGGGTAGCTACTTCATGTTCTATGAGTAATAGGTGTGTAGGTAAATTTGTAGGCATGGACAGATTTATTAAGGTTTATACCCACTATCTAATATTTTATATCTTTGGCTGAAAAATAGACCTTTTAAAGAGGGCAAAAGCCCAAAAGCAAACTAACCTTACAAATGATATAAACAAGAATTCATTGATGCATAACTTCATCCTTTGCCACAATATTACAGCACTGAGTGTATATAATAGACAAAAAGTTCCAAGCAACACAGAGTTGTTATTTTAGTCGAAATTACTTCACTCTCTACAGTTCTAAACAGGTGGATGGGGCTATTTCTTAAAGGCTTATATATATGAATTTCTTTATGGGAAAGGCTTTGGCGCCACTCATCTGAATGCATGGGAAAACTAGTGAAGGCTATTTCACTGTAGAAGAGAAAATTTTGTTAGAAATGAGTTGAAATAATGGGGTAGTTGAATAACTTGTAATAGTTTGCTGTTTTGGTTCTGATATTTAGTGGATTTTGCTTTGTTTCAGATGACTTTATGATATAGATAGGTCTTGAAGGTTTGTTGTGTTACATACATATCTCAGAACTTATACTGCATATTCTGGTGCTAGTGAGCATCTTGTGCTTAAGATCTAGCTAGTATTGATGAAAAATATCAATTGTTGGGTTACCAAAAAGTAAGAAAAAGAAAATCTAATGATTTATACATACTCGATGTCGGGATAACTTACGGAAATATTAGTTTCTTGAAGCAATGACATCAGCAATAATAATGTTGTAACAACATTCAAACATGACCTGTACATATACTGATAAAGGAGGAACAAAAGAGATAAGGAAAAAGAAACTAACATAGCAGCCTTAATTAGAACGTTGTAAGCATGTGCATGTCAGATTCCTCTACCTCACTGCACACTGGCCTAGAAATTAAAATAGAACAAAATCTATCTATCTATTCTGTATATATTTTGCGTTGATGCAGCTTTAAAGAACTTATGAACAGTCTCTAGAAATGGGGAAAGGAATACGGGGAACATTTTCCACATGCTTCTCCAAATGTTTGGCTATTTTCACTGAAACCTCTTACATGAAGATGTAATGTATGAATGTTCGAATGCCAACTTTAAACGTTTTCCATCACCATTGTTTAAGTGTAGCTTAGAGTTTTATAATATATAAGACAAATTGAGTAATATATAGGTGAGAAAATCTATTAGGCTTCCTGAAAGATTCGTATATTTGGAAGTATCCTCTCATTAAAATAATTTTATCAGCCAAAAAACTTTATTTTGTTTTCGTGGAAATTTTTTAGTTCTATTATTATTAGTTTTGTCTAAATGGTTTATACAGATAATAGTGTATAAAAAATTGGAAAAGTATATAATTTAGCCTCTAAAATATATTATAAATACTAAATTAAAATATCTTTAAAATGTTCTAATTGAACGTGATAAATATATATAGAGGATAGATAATAAATATAAAATAAAAACATTATAAAATGACATAAAAATATTAAATAGAGTAAATGCCATTTAGGTTGCTCAACTATAAATCCAAACTGTCCAAGAAACAGCCCATCTACTCCGTCACTGGGCCGATATGGGTTCACCTGCCCAGATCTGTAAAGACATAAAGAGAAATAAACAAATTATTAATAAAAAAGAAAACTGCAAATTAAAGTAATAAAGTGTACCACTAATTCAAAATCAGAGTAGAAATTTTATATATGAAATTTCATTATATAGAAGAGGTACTTTTAATTACCATAACTACAACAAGACGATTAATTAGTAAAAGTTGAGTCCAATGTTCATATAATATATACTTTGGTCACAATTTTCACCGGTCCATGAGGTGGATTCGCATCAATTTCATGTTCATATAATATATACATTTTAAATTTCATATTCAACGTGTGAAGTTAATCGATTACATATTTTGAAAGTTAACAATTCCAAAATAAAAACAGTTTTATATATTATTATAATGAAACATGATTAAATACAATTTTTTTAGGAGAATTGTAAAACGTAAGTGTCTGTGATGATTGATTGTTCTCTAAGCATTTGTCAATGATTAAATAATGAGATTGCGAGATATAAAAAATAAAAAATGATAATTTGATATTGATAAAACAAAATACTGACAAGGTGATAAAAGAGGTAAAATATGCCCGTATTAAGATAATTACTCACTCAAGTTGCGTGCCTCTATAAAAATTTTAATGTATAAGAAAAAAATGAATCTTTGTCTAGGAATGAAGTCACAGATTGAAAAACATATGATATTTCTCTAATTACAAATTGTTGAAGTAATTCAATATAATTTTATTAAAGTTGTATAATATTTAATAAAGCATGAGAATGCAATGAAGTAAATAATGAAGTTTGAAGACTTTCAATAAATTGGTTAGTTAAAAAAAGTGCAAATACAATCCTTCATGCACTTTTGATAACTAGTATTAGAGATGTGTTATTACATATAAGTTTTTCATGATAAGTGAAAACTAGATGAATTACCTTCAAGATACATTTCAAACAACAAAGAGGAAGCAGAATAAGAATAAGAAAAGTCATGCTTTATTTTGAGATGTTAATTATTAAATCAACATGAAGAGTATAGTCAAAAAGATAATAATATAACTTACAATTTTTTTTTTTGTCACGGTCACCCAATAAATCTTGCCCACAAATCTTTTACTTTTTAACACAAATACAATAAGAAAATTCACTATTTCAAATACATGCCTTAAGCTAGAAGAAATCCAGTTGATTTCAATTTCAACCATTTTGACAAATGTTTTAAAATTTAATTATAATATAAATAACTAGTTTATGTAAATATTCTTAAGTTATTAATTAGCATTATAAAAAAACCTACAACTGATTGATTACAAGATAAAAATAACAGATATACATTAAAAAAATAAAGAGATTCCATTTGAGCATTTGTCTCCAACAAATAATTTCAAAAAAAATTACATATGCAAAAAAAGTCTAATTAAAATTTATTAAAATTGTAATTTAATATGTAAAAATATAATAATAATAATAATAATAATAATAAAAATAACAACTTACTTACATGATAAACCAGTTTGCACTAGATTCAATTCTTCCTTATATTTCTTTAATCTCTTTTACTGAACTATCTTAAAATTATCAAATTTATTAAATACAAATATTATTAATATATATATATATATAAATTTATTGTTATTATAATACTTAATCAATTATGGATACAAATGAGTATTTCAACTAAATTTAATAAGTTAAAATATCTTAGAAGTTATGATAAAAACATGGGTAACCGTGCAAATATTATTTTTCATCAAAGAAATTAATTATTAAGGATGTTTTCCTCGTCTACCTTCAAATACCTTTATAGTTCTATATGCTTTTTATATGGGTTTGACAAATGTTTTATAACATTTGTTTTCTGATCTTTATTATCATCACACATAATTGCACAAATAAAACCAGCACACATATTAAGTTGCTAATAATAGGTGTTGGCAATCTCATGAAGATAAGAGAAAAGGTCTTGGGGTTTAGAGAACATGGGCATGTGATCAGCTTCAGCAATGGCTTTGACATCATTAGGAGGGTTTCTTTCCACCATTGACAGTTGAAAATCGTGTCCCATTATTTTGTCTTGTTCGCACACTATGTAGACTCTGGGCACAATTCCATATTTCTCCTCTGTGAGTTGTGTATTCTCTCGCAAATCTTCCTCACCAAAGATGGGAAAGGGCCTCACTAGTGACAATGCCAGAGTTAAGTCCTGGTTCATTTACACATGCCATCCAATATCATGTTAAGAGATGTTTGCAATCGTCAAAAAAATTATTGCTTAATGAACTAGTATTACCTTGGATAATTTTTAAACTATCAATATTATTACAATGATAATAGATAGATCTTAATAAATGTTGGGTTTTAGAGTAGAGAAATAATATTTTTCAGTTAAAATATATATAAAAAAATTAAGAATTGACACAATATTTTACGTAGAAAACTCTTAATAGATAAAGAAAAAATTACAAACAAGACTAGAAAAAAATTTTACTACGTGGAAGAATGATTACAACTTCTCTCTAAATTAGAAGGAAAGAACAATTGCACTCTCTCTTAATAAAAAAAGAGAAATCATTTACTAAAAGAACCACTCAGGAAAAACTTTATATTCTCTCTAATATAATCACTCTTGTTGAGATGGATGAATTAAAGCATAGGAGGAAACCAATATTTATAAAGAAACAAGGACTTCTCTTTTTTTCTTGGCATTTAATGCCACCGTAAAACTGTGACTATTTTCTTTCAATAACTAACAAATAGCTTCCTTATTGTGACTTTTTTTTTCATTGTAATAGCCATAAAAGTGGCTTTATGACAACTGTATTCACAATCTCCCACTTAAAGTCACTTTTGTGATTTTTAAAATCTTTCTCTATTTGCCTATTCCATGCTGCTTATGTTTCTAATAGACCATAGGAGGATCTGCACCAGATAAACTTATCAGAGTTGATTGACTTTGTCATAGCATCTGCTAGATTATCTTTGGTATGAATCTTCTGCATATCTAGACTCCCTTTTTCTATTACTTCTCTGACAAAATGATATTGTTCTCCTATGTGTTTTGTTCTGAAATGAAAAGTTGGATTCCTTGCAACGTGCAAGACACTCTGACTGTCACAATACACAGTGATATTTTGTTGCTTGTGTCTGAGTTCTCCCAATAACCTTTGAATCCAAATTGCTTCCTTGCATGCCTGGGTAGTTGCCATATACTCTGTCTCTGTAGTAGATAAAGCTACAACAGTCTGCAATTTAGATAACCAACTTACCGCTCCGCTTGCAATTGAGAATACATATATTGTAGTAGATTTTATTTTATCAAGATCATCTGCAAAATCTAAATTAACATATCCTCTGATAATAAACTCTTATCCTCCAAAACATAATGCAACATCTGAAGTTCCTTTAATATATCTTAGGATCCTCTTCACAGTATTCCAGTGCTCTCTACCAGGATTTGTCATAAATTGACTAACCGTACCAACTGCTTGTGCAATATCTGGTATCGTACAAATCATAACATACATAAGATTTCCCACTGTTGATGCATATGACACTCGAGACAATTTCATCCTCTTTGTTTCACTACTAGGACACATATCTTAGGATAATTTATAATTGATAGGCAGTGGGGTAGAGATTGACTTACAATCTTGTATGTTGAAGCGCCGCAAGACTTTCTTAAGATAATTCTTTTGAGAAAGTCAAATCTTTCTATCCTTTTAGTCTCGATGAATTTGCATCCTTAAAATCTTGTTTATGAGTCTCAAATCCTTCATATTAAATTCCTTAGCTAACTGTACCTTCAATTCTTAGACTCGATCTTTGGTGGGACCTACCACCAACATATCATCCACATACAACAGCAAAATGATGAAATCATTATCATCAAACCTCTTGTAATACGTACAATGGTCTGAACTCAGTCTGTTGTATCTGAGACTAATAATGAAGGAATCAAATCTCTTATACCAACACCTTGGCGTCTGCTTTAAGCCGTACAAAGATCTGATCAACCTACAAACCAAGTTTTCTTTTCCTTGTTCTTCAAAACCTTCTGGTTGGAGCATATAAATTTCTTCCTCAAGTTTTCTAAGAAGAAAAACAGTCTTTACATCCAATTGTACAATATGTAAGTCAAATACAGCACACATAGTCAACACTACTCTGATAGTGGTAAGTCTAACCACTGGAGAAAATATCTCATTGAAATCAATGCATTCCTTTTGAGCATACCCTTTAACCACTAGTCTTGCACGATATCGTTTCACTTGATCATTGTCATCACGTTTGATCTTATAGACCCATTTGTTGCTAATGGTTTTCCGACCTTGTGGAAGTGCAACAAGCTCCCATGTCTTGTTTCTGTGTAAGGCTTCTATTTCTTCCTACATTACTGTCATCCACAGAGAAGCATCTGAATTACTCATAGCCTCCTGAAAGGTTGACGGTTCTCCCTCTTCTATTAGAAGACAGTATGCATCATGACTTGTCATTACATAGTCTGAGTGCCAAGATGATCTCCATATCTGACATGTTATTCGTCGAACTTCTGTATCATTAGCCTCTTCTGATTCTTGTTCCACATGCTTTGGTTCTGCTTCTAAAGAATCTTCTTCTCCAAACTTTCCATTTATTTGTACAATAGTAACATCTTTAGAAGTGTTGTCATTTTCCTGTTCACTTTGCAGTTCATTCTCTGTAAAGATTATGTCTCTGCTGACAATAACATTGCAAGCAGTGGGATCCCACAAGCGATACCCCTTAACTCCGTCAGCATATCCCAAAAATATGCATTTTCTGGATTTTGGATCCAGTTTTGTTCTTTCTTGGGAGCTGTACATCACATACATAGGACATCCAAACACATGTAGAGAAAAATATTCTGCCGACTTTCCTTTTCACATCTCCATAGGTGTCTTTAAACCAATCACAGTTGATGGTGATCGATTTATTACGTAACAAGTTGTCTTTACTGCTTCTGCCCAAAAAGACTTGACTAATCTTGTCGTTCGCAACATAGCTCTAGTATTCTCTAAGAGAGTTCCATTTATCTGCTCTGCTACACCATTCTATTGAGGTGTATGGACAACCGTGAACTGCCTCCTTATATCCTCCTGCTTGTAGAATGCCAGAAACTCACCATCTGTATATTATCCTCCATTGTCTGTCCTTAAACACTTAATCTTCTTCCCAGTTTCAACCTCTACTTGTGCTTTGAATTCTTTGAAAACTAGAAATACATCCGACTTCTTCTTGATTGAGTACACTCACAATCTCCTAGAATAATCATCAATGAATGATACAAAATATTTAGCTCCTCCTAAAGACATTTCCGGTGACTCCACACATCAGAATGTATCAAGTTAAGTATGTGTTTGCTTCTAGTAGTTGACTTCTCAAACTTCAATCTATGTTGTTTGTTTGTCACACAGTACTCACAAAAAGGTAAGCTTACCAATGTGAGCCCGGGTTAAGAGTTTACGTTCCGCGAGGACCTTCAAGCCTCGTTCTAACATATGGCCTAGTCTGCGATACCACATTATTGTTGATTCCTCTTGACTAGCTAATGCAATTGATATATTTGCCTCTTGCAACGTATCTCCCGGAAGCATGCATAGGTTTGCAACAAACTTCTCTACTTTCATCACTACTAAAGCACCTTTCACCACTTTCAAGATCTCACTTTCAATATGGGTCTTGCAACCGAGGTCATCCAATTGTCCAATAGACAATAAATTTTTTCTCAAGCCCTTCACATGTCGTACCCCTTGAATTGTACGAATAATACCATTATACATCTTCAATTTGACAGTACTGATTCCAACAATTTCCAAGGTGTGATCATTACTCATGAACACAGATCCCTCTGAGATAGGTTTATAAGTGCAAAATCAATCTCTTCGTGGAGTCATAAGTCATTTTGCTCCCGAATCTATTATCCAAACATCAGTGAGCTGCTTTTCACCTTTGGAACCAACCGTTGCTTCCCTATACAGGATTTCTCCATCATCAGAGGTACTAGCAACACATCCTTAAGATGCAGTTGCCTCAGGAGACTTCTCAACATTTTTCTTCTTCCAACAATCTTTCTTCAAGTGTCCTCTCATCTCACAGTAGTAGCATTTGAAATTCTTCTTTGCTAGAGATTTTGATCTACCATGATTTTGACTCCCACTGAAGTCACGCTCTGATGATCTTCCTCTCACCACTATCAAAGCCTCTACTTGCTTGAAATTTTCCAATCTATCTTCTTTATCCTTGTGCCTGGATTCTTCTTCAAGAATGGCTCCGGTAACATCATCAAAGTTTAGATAGTCGAAAATCATATTATTTGTAATATTTATGATGAGTTGATCATACGAGTCTGGTAAACTTTAAAGTAGAAGCTCCGCACATTCACTTTCTGCTATTTTGACACCTGAGGCTATCAGCTGAGCAAATAACGTGTTGAGATTGTTGATGTGATTCGTGACTAATGTGGATTCACTCATTCGAAGAGTGTAGAGTCTTCTCTTTAAGAAAAATTTGTTATGAAGAGACTTAACCTCATATAATTTTATGAGTGTATCCCATATCTTTTTTGTTGTTTGCTTTTTTGCAACACTAGACAAGACAAAATATGTCAATGTCATGTGCAAGTTAGCAACAACAATGTTATCCATCTCCTTCCATTTTTCATCAGTCATACCATCAGCCTTACCTTTAATTGCTGCTAGGCAATTTTCTTTTCTCAAGTATGCCTTTATTTTCAATTTCCACAGGGAGAAATTACTCCCACTGAATTTCTCTATCTCAAATTTTGTCGTCATGGTTTAAACTGACTTATGTACCTGTTAATAAGAATAATATTGTCTATTGGAATAACTTTTATATCCGGTAACAAGAATAACTCTCTTTTTTTATGTAAAAGATCATATTAACTGCAACCATAAAACATATTAAGAATTTTCTCCAACACTATTTTAGTAACTATAGCAGTGGAATAATATCACAACCTAGTGACTCTAATCACTGCTGGGTTTCAGAGTAGCGAAATGATATTTTTCAGCTAAAATATATATGAGAAAATTAGGAATTGACACACAACATTTTATGTAGAAAACTCTTAACAGATTAAAAGAAACTATGGACAAGACCAAAGAAAATTTTCACTATATGGAAGAATAATTACAACTTCTCTCTAAATTAGAAGGAAAGAACAATTGTACTCTCTCCTGACAAAATAGGATAAATCACTTACTAAAAGAACATCACACATGAAAAACTTTATATTCTCTCTTATTTAATCACTCTTGCTAGGATGGATGGATCAAAACATTGGAGAAAACTAGTATTTATAGAAAAGAAGGGACTTAATGTCACTATAAAAATGTGACTATTTTCTTTCAATAACCGACAAATAGCTCACAAATAACTCCCTTATTTTGGTTTTTTTTTTATCGTAATAGCCATAAAAGTGATTTTTCGGTAACCGTGTTCACAATAAATACGTAATTTAATTTTATTATAAATAATATAGCCTTAAATTTGTTATAAATTAATTTCTAAGATTAATCATATAATTTTCAGTATCTTTTACCTACACAACATGATCATTTTTGTTTCACAGTTTTTCTGTGTGTGAAACCACAAACAACGGTGCAAATGAAATTAGTTTGAATTTTTCATGAGACTAATTCCAGTTCGTGTTAGGGACATACGAATGTTGATATGCAACAATAGTTGAGATATTTACTGGAAAGTGGAAATGATAATAATTTGAAAACAACTTGATTTGTTTCTAGACCCAACAGAAACGTTTATTTTATTTCAAAAGCCATATACCTCGGGTGCAGACAGTTGGTATGCGTTGGATGCCATCAGTCCAGGATCAAGTGCCACATATCCCTTTTGATGATTATTGGTATTCTTTTCAGAAACCGTCTTTGAGCCCAAATTGGATTTCAAGCTTAGTCTGTGCTTGAACTTTTCAAGATAAAATAAATTAAACTCAGTAACAGAGGTAGCAAACACCCAGTTTACACAAATTCATGTAGTATGCACAGTAACATTCACTGAATAAAGATACATTTTAAAACAACTGAACATAAAGAGACTTCTTCTAGTATAAGTATTTTTATTTATGCATCAAGTGAGAGCTTCATGGTAAATTGCTGAGTTATGGGTAGGAATTTTTTTTTTGTTTATGGGACCATGAACATGTCAATAAGAAAATAAAATATCATACCTCTTGGTACAGTGAGAGATAGCTTAGGTGGGGACCAGGCATCCAACCCGAAACGAAAACCGCAGCTGCAATTTTGTTGGGGAACATTTCCATGGCTAGAGATATGCATATCCCTCCAAAACTATGAGCCACCAGGATTACGCGTTCTTCTTCAGGCAAGGAGCGTAGAAATTCCATCAAAGGCTCAACATATTGTAAAACAGAATTGAGGTCCTGCACCTGCTTTGGATTGATGCCGGATGCAGCCATATCCAGAGATGTGACTTGGAGTCCACTGGATTTGAGCAACGTAGCGACCTTATACCAACACCATGCCCCATGGAGCGCTCCGTGAACCAACACCAAACGCCTCTTCTTCTCCCCCTCCATCTCACTCACCTCATCTTTTCCTCTATCCTTATTCACACCTTCGAACTACTCTGATAAATGTACTCTCCTAACACCCTCGTTTCTTCTTTTATGGCTTACAATCGATTGAAAAATATCTATTCACTCACCACTATCATATTTGTAAAAATAATTTAAAATTCCAATAAAATAAAGCAATTCAATAAATAATATGTTTTAAAAGAAATATTATTCAAATAAAATTCGTATAAATTAATTAATTTGGTTTGTTTATAAGGACTAGTATCTCATTTATCATAGTTTTTTTATTAGTCTCTTCGAAAATACTTATATCAAAATTTATAATTTTTGTAATAATCAATAATTTGATATTAGTTCTTATATTGAAATTTTTTTAATAGTGCATCAGGTAATCATATCATAATTAATACTTAAAAAAATATTGTTGGATAGATGAAGGGTAAATCTAAGCAACATATAACTAAGTATAATCCATAGCTTAATATTTTAAAATTTTAAATTAAAGGTAAAGTCATATTCTTATATATGATTGATTCATATTTTATACATGAAAATCTTCTTAACGGCTTAAAAATACCTAATAATTTATAATTAATATCCAATTTTAATTTTTCTCTTTTTTTCATTCCCACCGTTGTTTTTTCTTCTTCTTCTTCTTCTTTTTCTTCTACTTCATTTATCTTGTTTTTTATCTTTTCTTTCCTACTTTTTTTTATTAACTACTATATTAAAATTTAATAGAAATAGATTAAAACAAGTATTTTAAAATCAATATTAAAACTAAAAAAATATTAACTAATTATTTAAATTTATAATAATAATAATAAAAAATAAATTTATTTACAATTACATAAATAATTAATTTAAAATTATTTTATCAAAATAAATAATTATTCATCTAATTATAAAAAATATCAAATATTTATGATTTAAATGTATTTTTTATTTAGTAATTTAATCTAGTATAATTTAGTTTATTTATGATAATTAGTTAGATTAGATAATTTTAAAAAATATTTTAAAATAATTTTTTTAATAATTATAATATAACAATAATATTTATAATATGTTAATTTTATCATATATATTTTTTTAAATATAATAAATTAAATTATAATATTTTAAAATTATTTAAATATTTTTAATTTTTCAAAAATAATAAAAAAAATCATTTTATGAAATTTCAATTTAATATTTTTTATAGAAAAATAAGATAGAATGAAAAAAAACAATAAATGAAAAAAAATAACAAGAAATAAATTAAGAGAGAAAAAAATAAGAAAATAAAAAAACATATATATTATGTCAGAAAAAAAAATTCTTATTAAATTTATGTATGAAGAATAAATGAGATTTAATTAGATAAATAAATTTAGAATAATTTTTTTAAGTAGTTTTTCTTTTAAATTATATTATTTAGGAAATTGATTTTATTAAATAGTATATTCAATAATATACTAATATTATTATTTATTTTCAATTATATTTTTATTTCTTGAAAGTTATTAAAATTTAATATTACTTTTCAACATATTTTATATCTTATCCTTGTAATCTTGAAATATATAATTTTTAGTAAGAAAAACTATACCAATAACCTGTTATAAAATATGTGCTTGATAGAGATGAAAGAAATAAAGAGAGAAAAATAATTGCAAAAAAACTATGTTATATATAAAATAAAAATTTATTTTGTTTAAGATAATGGAAATAAATTAAAAAAAATCTATTATTTAATTTGATGTAAACAATAAAATAATATAATAATAATAATAATAATTATTATTATTATTATTATTATTTCAACAGCACTAAGATTTGAAAGAAAGAAAAAACTCAAGTCTTTTGTAATTAATTATTGAGTTACATAAATTATAAGAATATATAGAAAGTTGAGTGAATGGCTCCAATTAATTATACTATGATTCATAAATTTCTTTGTTTGCATTTTTTTCTTTTCTATTTTGAAAAAAAAATTGTGGATCTGAGATTGAATTTTAAAAAATATTTTGACTTCTTCATTATCAAATTACCTGTTTTTCCTCTTTTTTTCACCGTGAACTTGCTGTGATTGTATTTCAAACGTAAGATTTTATTAAAAAATAAAATCAAACATAATTTGTAATAAAAAACACATTTTTGACCTATTTAATTATATACACACGATTTAATTTTGTTAGAAAATAAAATAAAATCTAACTCTTTTAAGAAAAGAACATATTTTTACCTATATAATTATATATAGACACAATTTAATTTTATTGACATTGAATGCGAACCGATAATACGTGGCATTAATTATTCATCCAAAATGTTTGGTGGGACTACTAGCTGCTTCTTATCCTCGGTCAGCGTTGAAACGTGAATAAGAAAATTGACGGGAAAATGTACACTGTCTCCCCCACATCTCATCACAGTAATAAATAAATATAAAAAAAAAATACAAAAATTAAAAAAGATAAAATTATAAATATATACTTAAATATATTAAATTATTATTAAGTTAAAAAAAAATAAAATCATAAATTATACAAAATTAACAAAATTAAAAAAAAAACTAAAAAAATAAAATTATAAATATATAAATAAATATATTAAATACTTGAATACCAAAATCATTAATCACTTCAAAATTACAAAACTTTGACTATCAGGAACATGCGCCCCTCGACACACTTAACAAAATTCACAAATAAGCTACTTTCTTCGTCAACTTCGATCTATCAAAATAATTGGCAATTGTATTTATAACTTGTTTCGTGTTTTGACTATTCCATTGAATTGGTGGTCGATTAAAATTTAGGTTTATATGTACCATTTCAAGTTCTTGACGACAAATTTTCTGATTATTTTTCTGACTACAAATTTTCTGATCATTAATATAATGACATACTCGATTGAATGCAATATAAAGTATGATATTATGAAATCTTCAGCCATCCTAGGAATAACAGATGTTTTAGTTTAATAAAAAAAAACACTAATTAACAATCTCTGTACTTATTAGTCACAAAATTTGCATTATCCTAACCCACACATTCAGAAATAATCACAACTATACTTTGACAAACAAAATCACAGTCATGAATCATCACGGACACCATTAATATTTTTCTTCTGTCACGACCAGGTCTTATGAGGTGCGGTGTTTTCAAAAAATTATATACTATATTTTAAAACAATAACATCTTTAATTTTTTAATACAATAATATTAATTTAACTTAATTTTTTATTATTTTTTAAATTTTTATATATTTTTTAATATAAGTGATTTTGTATTAATTACTTTTAATTGTACATAAGAGTGTTATTAAAAAGTTTAAAATTTTTATAAATTTACGATTTTGAAAAGAAGAAGAAAATATAAAAGTTGTTAGAAGATGAGGAAAGAATAATTTTGTTGTTGAAATGTTCGGTATTGATCTTGTGTCATTTTCATTCTTAAAATTCTTTGTATTGTATGCATGTTAGACTCATTCAACATAATATCAATTTTAACTTAAAGTTTATGTGCCCAAACAAGTTCAACTTCTAACTTTCTATTGTTTTGAATTATTCAAATGTGGGAATATGTATATAAACACTATGAAAAAAACAAATTAACTTATATAAAATTAATAGAGAAACTATATAAAAAAAATAAAAATTAATTTAATATAAAGACTAATTTTAATTTATGATTTTTTTTATTTTTTTACTTTGACCATATCTAAAATGATCTAGAGTCTTCTTCCAAAAACTAATTTTTTTTAATTGGTTAAATATATTTTTTCAAATTATTTTATATTTTAAAATTTATATACAAATTTGACAAAAAACTTGTTATTAAATATTTACTTTAATGGTAAAAATTTCAAAAAATAACACTTTTTATAAATTTAACTCTTTTATTAATTTAAATACAAAATATTATTATTAAATATATTTAAACTTAGCTATAAAATTAAATATTTGGAACGTTCGAGAATTAAAATAATCAAATTAAAATATAAAGATTAACGGTAAAGTAGAAAAAAACAAAGGTAAAAATATATTAAATTATATTATTCATTGAATATAATAAAAGGTATATTTTTAGTAATACCAATAACCTTTTTCATGTAGTATATATTTATATTTTTGCTTGATTACTTATCTTGTTTCATTATTTATATATTTTGTTGATTAGATTTTATTATTATTAAATAGTTCAATTTAATTCTAAAATTTTCTATAAGGGAATAAGTTTCTCATTTTTGTATATTGTGTTACGTTTATTAAAAGAAAAAGAACATGTAATACTAATTTGACCTTTGTTTAATGAAAATATTATATTTTTGAATGTGAAATGATATAGTCCATTATCATTTTCTCCTTCATCACATTACCCTTAACATATTGCACATAGCTTGTCAGTTGCTCTAGCACAAACAAATTTTTATTAAAGCTTCACTGCTTACATTTAATACACTTTTTGCATATTTCTTCGGGATTAAAGTATGAGACAAATTTTTAATTGTCTTCTTTATATTCTTGAAATTGAGATCATCAATTACAAATATTACAACCATATTACCTTATTAATTGAGTCGTAAAGTAATTTAAAATATTTATTAAATTAAAAGAATTTTGTTATAATTTTATGATTTTTGTCAAATATTTTGAGAGGTTGTTTTCCGTAAAAAAAAAAAAACTTGTGAAATAATTTGAATTGTACTCAACATATTTGTCTTCATATCAAATATGCATACAACATTTTCAAAGAATGTTTCTCTTTTTTATCTCTAAGGTCACTATTCTAATACCTTCGTTAGCAAAACTATTATTATCTACAAATTATATATATGTTATTTGATGAGTCATCCAAATTGATTGATGATTCCCTCATTCTCATTATACGAGTGGAATAACTAAAATGAAAGTACCATCAAATATTATTTTTTGTGATTATCATAAAACATCATCATTTCACGATTAGATCTTACCTATTGTATTTGTTTCTTTGGTAGATCTCTTTTATTTATCATAATCTCAAGTATTTCAATAAAATGTTGCAATTCTTTAATATTCACAATGAAATTCTTTTACTCTGAGTGTAAGAACTACATGATTAAATTAAAGTGATAATGTTTTCAAAAAAAATTCTATCATTTGTTGATCTAAAATCCTTTTTTTTCACGTATCTTCGTAATAATCACATTTTTTTTCTTCTAAAATCCTATTAAAGTAATACGTAATGAATTATTTGTTCTCCATGTTGAAAAATCCATATTATGTTCGTCTTGGTGAGACACGATTAACTCTCTTCAAATTTCTCATTATATATCTCAAAGAAGATATAAAATACATTAACAAGGGACCATCAACTTATTAAATTAGTGACTCAACAAACAACGCAAAAATTACAATATGTAACTTGTAGAAGTAATAGAAAAAATAAAACCCTAAACCTCAAATTAATGAAAATAAAAAATTGTTACCTCTATTCAAACCCTGAATTGTGACGAGTGTTTGGCCACAACAAATTAAGAGTCACACAAATTTGAAACATAAGTACCAATAATAATCTATTAAAACTACTAAAAACAAACTTCTATTAATTAATTAATTATTTGTAATTCATAATAAAAGAAATAGAACTCTCTTCTATTAATTACACACTATGTAATTGAACAATAAGTTTAAATCATTATTATGTAATGCAATTGAACTTAGGTAATATATCTCTATCACCTTGTTAAAATTACACATTTGCCCTTACAAGGAAACTTCAACTGTAATGGATCATAAGCATCTATAATAGTCTTCAACAAACTAATCCTCAATAAACTCCAGAAATACGCAACAAAAGCACTGGCAACTTAAAAGTGTTACCCTATTCTTATACTTTAAACTTTGTCCAACCCCTTAGTAGTCATATAATTTTTATTAAATATAGTAGCAGGTTCCACAGGAAATTTCAAATATTTGGCTACCTGAGGCTATAAAAAGTTGTATAAGCTACCTCCATCAACGAGGACATTCACATTCACAGGTAGTTTCTTAATATAAGTAAGAAATCTTATGTGTCAACTCCCATACTACCCTCTCAAACATCATGGATAATGATGTTTATCATTCACCATCTCCATATACTAAAAACACAAATGTTACACTAAAAACAACGAAACCAAGGGAATTGAACATAACAAAAAAATATCAATCAAATGAGTTGGAATCCATAATTGTATAGTTCTTTACAATAATAAACAATGTCCAATTAAAAAAAATAATATATTTGTACAAATTGGTACTTTTTTTTACAACCTTCGTCTGTTGTTACTGGATGTTGACTGTCATGTGTGAACCTGACAATTGGCAGATATATTTTTTACTCAAGGACAACAATAATTCAAGCTAATGCCAGAAACATTGAATCATAGTCACGAGTGTCCAATTCTAGGGGCAAGCACCTGCTATCAAGTTATATTTGATCTTTTTAAGAAAAAAATAGGACCATTTATAATTTATTTTATTAGTATGAAATATTTGATTTTATTATTAACTAATTTCACCAAAAAATAATTTGATTATCATATTTAAAAATATCTCTTTTCTTCAATAACAAAAGTATAAATTATTAATTTATAGATATGGATGAATTTATTAAAAAAATTGAAATGGGTTCAGTTTCATTTCATATTTTATAATATTTTTCTTCCTAATGATGAAAGATGAATACTTTATTATGTATTGACTTTTATAATTTTGTTATATTCATTTAATGCATCAGTATTCACTTCTTGTCTTATTATTTGTCTTTGTTTTCAGATGTCTCACAATCTTCTCCATTTCCATGTCCCCTATTTTGAATATTTCATCAGAATTATAATAATAAATTAGTCTATAAACAAAATAAATAAATTATAATGTTTTATGATATACTTTAAAACTAGTATTTAGTGTATTTGTACTAGTATATAATTATAATTTATAACAAATACATTTTATATTTATAAATTATAGTATAATTAAAATTCATAATATATATATATATATATTTGTTAAATGTATGTTTTGAATTTATGCAAGTATAATTATATAATAAGTGATTGAGAAAAATAAAGTATACAGAAAGAAAAGAAAATATTTTTTTCTAACTACTTGCTAAGATAATATGTGAAATGTATTTTAAAAAAAATATTGACTAATTTAAGTATTTGTGAAGTAATTTGAAAGTAATTACAAAATATATAAAAACATCATATAATAAAAAAATATTAAAATTAGATATAAACCTAATTTAATCTGAATTTATAAAATGAGATCAATATTAAATAATAAGTAGATTTTACCTCTTTTCTTATATATTATTTATATTTCTCTTTCACGTGAAACTTAAACTTACACGTATTTATCTGATTCACGGACAAAATTGTCAATCATCTCTTTTTTATATATTATAATGTTGGTCTTCTCTTTTTTATATATTATTTAATTTTCTTATTTTTATTTAATATGGAACTTAAACTCACGCATTATTATAATATGTTTATCTTTTTCAATTTTATTCCATCTAATTCTTACTCGATCTAATATTCATTTTTATTCCATCTAATTCTTACTCAATCTAAGATTTAGATTTACCGTTAAACTATACACTTTAATATTAATTATTGGATTTTTTTAGAGAGATTTATTTAAAAAAAATAACACTAATAAAACACGAATTTAACATAAATAAAATATTCACATCGCTCTCCCCCCAAAATTTTAATGGGTTTTCATTCTTTTTTTCTATGTTACCCACTTTTAAATTCTTAATGAATGTAATATGAAACTCGTACTCACGTTCCCCCAATAATTTCAAACATATTCTCTAACCTTCTTCATTTCTGTTTTCTATATATAGGGGTAAATAAAGAGTAAACCGAGGAAAGGCATAATGAGTGAAGAACAAAGAAAGCAAAAACACTTTGTCCTGGTGCATGGTGTTTGCCATGGTGCCTGGTGTTGGTACAAGCTCAAGCCACTCTTGGAGTCAGTCGGCCACAGGGTTACAGTCCTTGACCTTGCAGCTTCTGGCATCAACCCACATAAAATTGAAGACATCCACACTTTTTCTCACTATTCCAAGCCTTTGTTGGATTTCTTGGGGTCTCTTGCTCCTAATGAAACAATTGTCCTTGTTGGACATAGCTTTGGAGGGATAAGCATAGCCCTTGCAATGGACAAATTTCCAGAAAAAGTATCCCTTGGAGTTTTTCTTGCAGCTTTTGCTCCCGACACTCACCACAAACCATCGTATGTCTTAGAAGAGGTATGCATATATTAAAAAACGTTGAAAACATCTCTAGTTTAATTTTCCTTGCTCTCCATCATCTGTCTACTACTCATCAGAATATTGCTCAAATCTGATTTCATATTAATTATGGAGTTTTTACATGAACAGTTCATTGAGAGATACCCTATTAGTGGATGGATGGACTGCGAGGTCTCGAACAGTAGAGGCAAAACCACCTTGTTTTTTGGTCCCAAGTTTATGTCTACCATGTTGTATCAACTCTGCTCTTCTGAGGTAGTTACAGACAAACACATAATAGAAGTGGTTGCATTGCACCCAGACCAATATAATTTGAAAATGTGTTTGGCTTGGATTTTGCAGGATCTTGAATTGGCCAAGACTTTGATAAGAAAAGGATCACTCTTTGCTGAAGATCTTTCCGAGACACAGAATTTCTCCAAAGAGGGATATGGGTCTGTCCCATGTGCTTATATTGTCTTCAGTGAGGACCTGGCAATACCAAAAGAGTATCAACAATGGATGATCCAAAATGCTGGGATTGGTTTGGTGAGGGAGATCGATGGAGCAGGTCATATGGCTATGTTTAGCAAAACTCAGGATCTGTGTTCATCTCTCCTTGAGATTGCTGATAATTAAGCACACTTCAGTAAATGTTAGGAGGATTTAATAATTTGTTAGTTTTCAAGTTCTAATCTTATTATGGTCATTTTTAGGATTCACTCTCTGCAGATTTTCAGTCTGTAATAATAAAGATGAAAATTATCTTATGTTTTATGTTTTTTTTTACGAATAAAATTATCTGTCTGTACTTTGTCCAATAAACTGTTTTTCCTACAAATTTTAGTTGAAATAATTTCTGGAATTTTGATTTTAAATAGATAATTTCTTATCATTGACTTAAAGCCAGATATTACGAAAATAAAAAAATTGCAGAAAAGTTAGAATTGTCTGAGACTTTACGGAAATTGATGGTTTTTGTTCCAAACAAAAACAAAATCTTGTTTTGTTTGTTCTTTCTTTTGCGTGTTCTAGTATTACTTTTCTATTCCAAGACATGGGATATCTATGTAATTATAAAAATAATATTTTTTTAATATAATTATTTAATAAAAAATCTTAAATATAACTTCTAAAGTGATTAATATTTTATAAATTACGTCAATAATATATAAAATTAAATTCTAAAATTTTGGGATCACATGTTAAGAGTTGGAAACTAATTTTGTAAAATACTAAATTCATTTAAGATGATTTTTCTAATATTTTATTAATTTAAATAAATTTAAAGATCAAACTCTTGATTTCATATTTAAAAAGCATGATTATTATTTCATGTTGCAACTCAGCTAAACTATCATATTTTAAGTTATTAAAAAAAAAGATTAACAGTGGAATATATTCAGAAATGATGGATAATACATCATCTCCATAAACCGATTATATTAGTTATATTGAATCAAAGACTTTTTTAGACATAGTTTTCAACCACATAATTTTTAAAAAATTTCTTCACTAAAAACGTGTTTAATTTTTTAATCATTTATTTCATTCAATTTATTTTTTATTTTTTATTTCAAATTAAAAAATAATATTTTGTAAATAAAATATCGATAGTTAGAAGTAATCCTGTATCATAACACAGATTATTTATTATAAATCTAAAAATAAATATATGTCAAAAAAATATTATAATTAAAACACAGTTTATATATAAAAAATATATTTGTTATAAAGTTTAGATATATAAAATAAACACTGACCTGTCCAGTGTAAAAATTAGAATACTAATTCTTTTATAATTATTATTTACATGTATTAAATTGTTAATGTAATATCTTAAAATTGTGCATTTACCATTGTTAAGAAACTTGTTTGAACTCTACATACAGAATCTTTTTCGAATGAGTTTAATTTTTATATGGTTTAAAACCTAAATATAATTTATATTGAATATCTAATCAATATATTTTAAAAATAAATATTTGTCTAAGTTGTGACATTCTTTGACCCATAGTACCACCTAATCTTGATATTTTTTAATATGATTTTTGTGACAATAATTCTAATCATATTAATATTCGTATGAGTTTTCATATTCACTCACACCCATTTAATATCTAATTATTGGCATTTTTTAATATAAATATTTGTAATATAATTATTATATATATTATAATAAAAAATTTTAACTGTTCAAATTTTTATTTATTGTAAAATATTATTTCTTTAAAATTATAAAATCTCAAATTTTTTTAGGTTTTTTGGTTGTATTTATTTTTTTATTAAGATTTCGAGAAGTTAACAATAAGTAAATAATTTTTATCCAGTTTTTTTTTTCTCAAATTTTCTTTATAGGTTTATATACAAGCCTAGAGTATGTAGTGTTCACGGAAAAAAATCTTTACTAATTTAAATAACTAGTATAATATTCTAACCATTACTTAAGCTTTTTTTATGCTAGATTTTTTTTAAGTTATATACAAAGAATAATTATTCTAAATAAGGATAATTAGTTAAAATTGTAATAATATGTTAGATTATAAGATCTAAATGTATTGGTAGCGTGATTTGGTGATAAATTGTTTTGAAAAAAATATGTTTTATGTTTATTAGAAATAATAAGAATTTAATGATGTGGTTAATTGTTTCTTTAATTTGTGTTGCAAGGCATGTTTTGGATTTATCTTCAATTTCATAAATTTAGTGGTTAAGGGGGTAAAAATTGATAAATCTTGGTGAATATTATAAGGTTAAAAATGGATAAAATTTGTTTGAATTGTAATAATAAAATTATTATTTGAAAATAATTTCACGGGTAAAATTACATTAATTTCATTTGCGAGTTTGATATATAAATTTGTTTAATATTTTTATAAATTTTGTATAAAGAATTTGAGATAGTATTGATAATTAAACTTATATAGAAAATAATATATATATATATATATATATATATATATATATTATATTTTGAATTAGTCTCAAAATAAATAGTATCATTTTTAGTATATAATGTATTTTTTAAATATGATATTTTAATAAAATTATTTCAATAAATAATTCATTTGTAATGTTTGGGAGAATCTTACAAGTAAAAATATAATTCAGTGTAAGAGGAGGAAGAAGAAGCAAAGTAATGTATGCATGTTTTTGGTGGTGCGGTGGGTGAGACATTGGCATGCAAAATTTACATGAACAAGGTATGTTTTTGTGTAGCAAAGGATCATGCCCTATCTCTGCTCCAAAAATGCACCACCGTCACTTCACTGCGAGAGGCGCGTCAACTCCACGCCCTCGTATTAACTACTATCACTGTCTTCAACTTCCAGTCTCCGTTTGTGTACAACAACATCCTCTCTATGTACGCACGATGTGGTTCACTCACAGACTCTCACCTCGTGTTCGACAAAATGCCTCGCAGAACTCTTGTTTCCTATAATGCACTCCTTGCAGCCTATTCTCGAGCATCATCAAATCATGCCATTTCTGTTCTTGAATTGTATACCCACATGGAAACTATGGGTCTTAGACCCTCCAGCATGACTTTTACTAGCTTGCTGCAAGCATCTTCCTTCCTTCAATATTGGTGGTTTGGATCATCGCTTCATGCAAAGGGCTTCAAGTTGGGTTTGAATGATATTTGTGTCCAAACTTCTTTGCTTAATATGTACTCGACTTGCGGGGATTTGAGTTCAGCTGAATTGGTTTTTGGAGATATGGTTGTTAGAGATGATGTTGCTTGGAATTCTCTCATTGTTGGATATCTGAAGAATAATAAGATCAAGGAAGGTTTTTGGCTATTTATTTCAATGATGAGGGTTGGCTCTGTCCCAACCCAGTTCACGTATTGTATGGTTCTGAATGCCTGTAGTCATCTGAAGGATTATCGCTCTGGGAGATTGATTCATGTCCACGTGATTGTTGAGAATGTGCCACTGGATTTACATCTGCAAAATGCTCTGGTTGACATGTACTGCAATGTTGGCGATACGCTAACAGCTTATAAGATTTTTAGTAGAATGGAAGACCCGGATTTAGTTTCTTGGAATTCAATGATTGCTGGGTATTCTGAGAATGAGGATGGAGAGAAGGCAATGAATTTGTTTGTTCGGTTGCGGGAAATGTCTTTTCCTAAACCGGATGACTATACCTATGCTGGCATTATATCTGCAATTGGTGCATTCCCATCTTCCAGTTATGGAAAATCTCTTCATGCTGAAGTTATTAAAATGGGATTTGAGAGAAGCGTCTTTGTAGGAAGCACTCTAGTGTCTATGTATTTCAAAAATCATGAAAGCGAAGCCGCTCAGAGAGTATTTTATTCAATCTCAGCGAAGGATATTGTTCTCTGGACTGAAATGATCACTGGTTATTCTAAAACGACTGATGGAATTAGTGCGATAAGATGCTTTTTTGAAATGGTTCGTGAAGCCCATGAGGTGGATGACTTTGTTCTCAGTGGAGTTTTCAGTGCATGTGCTGATCTTGCAGTTTTAAGACAAGGTGAAATAATTCATTGTTATGCAGTTAAATTGGGTTATGATGTTGAAATGTCTGTTTCTGGGAGTCTAATTGATATGTATGCGAAAAATGGTAGCCTTGAAGCTGCATATTTGGTATTTTCCCAAGTTTCAGACCCAGATTTGAAGTGTTGGAACTCAATGCTTGGTGGATATAGTCGTCATGGAATGGTGGAGGAGGCATTGAAACTTTTAGAGGAGATTCTCAAACAAGGTCTGGTTCCGGATCAAGTGACATTCTTGTCTTTATTGTCTGGTTGCAGCCACAGTAGGTTGGTTGAGCCAGCAAAATTCCTCTGGAATTATATGAACAGCATTGGTTTGATTCCTGGGCCTAAGCACTACTCTTGCATGGTAACATTGTTGAGTCGAGCAGCATTACTGGAAGAGGCGGAAGAAATTATCAACAAGTCACCTTATATTGAAGATAATCTTGAACTATGGAGAACTTTGTTAAGTGCTTGTGTTATAAATAAAAATTTTGAAGTGGGAATTCATGCAGCAGAGGAAGTTTTGAGATTGAAAGCAGAAGATGGTCCAACGCTTGTTTTGCTTTCTAATCTTTATGCTGCTGCAACGAAATGGGATAAAGTTGCAGAAATTAGAAGAAATATGAAGGGATTGATGGTGGATAAAGATCCAGGGTTAAGCTGGATTGAGGCCAAGAATGACATTCATGTGTTCTCTTCCGGAGATCATTCACACCCCAAGGCGGATGAGGTGCAGGCTGAATTGAATAGGCTAAAAGGAAATATGATTAGAACAGGAGATGATGACAGGAGATAAAATGCATTCCTACGTAAGTTACATAGACTAAGCTTATGCCCTAGGGGTCGAATTTAATTCAAAAAAAATGAGTATATACAGAACTGTAGTTTTAGAGGAAATAGATAATTTAAGCACGGTCTACCGGGATAATTAATGGTAACTTTTCCATCTCTCTTCTCTTTGTATTCAGAAAGAGTTTTATAATATTCTTCTCCAAGTCAAATATTTATTAAAGGCACTAATACAATGATATGTTTGTTAATTAAATAATTTGATTAACTATAAATCTGATGGATAGGATTATACCAATCATCACAGCATCTATGCCAAGCCTATGGGATTATCAGCCAATTATTAAGAAGTTCTTTGCTTCTACTTTACCATGAACAAAAACACACAGGACTCTGAAATTGTAGCATGATGAGTTTTTTTTTTCTATTCTTTTCTCCCTGAGAAAAAGGGGTTAAAATTATAAAATAAATTATGGATTTGACCCTTCATTTTAAAATAATATATATATATATATATATATATATATATATTATTTCTTATTTTCTTATTTATTTATGTATCTTATTCATTATTTTTAAAACAATATTTTAAATTAATTATTATTAAAAAGAGTTTTCACCAAAAACTGTGATAATTCATTAAGTTTTCTCTCACCTTGTATTTAATTATTCTTTTATTTTCAAATTTCTCTCTATATAATTAATTTCTTACAAATAACCTAAAAATTAAAAAAAAAACTATTTTTTTAAATTATGCTTAAAAATAATTTAAAATATATTAATGAATTTATTTTAAATAATAATATAATTTAGTTTATATCTAAGCAAAATATATATTTAAAATAAAATAAATCCTTTAATATATTTTAAATTATTCTAAATTAAGATAAATATTTTAAAAACTATAAAAAAATTGTTTAGTTAATTAAATAATATATATTTTATGATAAATATTATAGAATTTAATTTTTTCAATAAATAATTAACTTTTAAAATTTGTTTCATATTTAATAAACTACTTGATCGATATTCACACAACCAATTATTTGTCACATTAATCAATAAGTTACTTGGTCAACATTCACGTTATTTATAATTTTTAAAATATTTATCATAGTTTAAAGTTTCATTTATTTAAAATAGTTACTATATTGAGATCTAGTTAAATTATATTCGAAATAAATCTTAAATATATTTGAAGTTATTTTGAAGTATAAGTTTTTTTCAAAAATTTAATTAATTTTTATTTTAGGTTAATTGTACAAAATATTAAAAGAATACTAATGAGAAATGAGAAAAAAAAATGAAGTGCAAATGAAATAAACTATAATAACAAAAACAGAAAGATCAAAAGAAAGAAAAAAATAAATAAAGTTAGGTAGAATACAACAAATTACCAATTTTAAGTTTAAGTGTATATAAATAAGATAAGTGTATATATTATAATTACTCAACGATTAGTGTTTAGATAGAATTTTTCATGCGAGCAAGAAACAACTACCCCAGAACCTCTTGTCTAAATTTTACCGACCATCCCGAAGTAATAATGTTCGAAAGAATAGTGAAGATCTTGAAATTTAAATAGTGAACGAGTTTTGGAATTTTAAAGATTAATTAAAGGCCAAATACTCCAAGGTTACAATAATATATCAGTAAAATGTATCCAAACATCTTCCAGGCAGTTGATATCTTTTACAACAGCTAGGAATGTATCAAACTCAGACTGAAACCAGGAAGAAAGCAAAACTATAACATTAGCATTCAAAATCATCATCTAACCTATATTAATCTACAATGTTAAAGAAAATGGGTCAAAAGTCACTAAAGGAAAATGCCTAATAGAAGAACTCAAGAGATTGATTCAAGGCCGAATCCAAATGTCGATATGTACCAGTGCCCTCAATGCGGCATCTCTACATTCCAAGAATCACAGATTCAGGGCAAAAACCATTTAAGACCGTCTAATAAGGGAAAACCATTGTTTCAAGCAAGAACATTGCATATCAGCACAAGGTGCCAATCAACTTCATGCTTTCATATCACATTTATTAGCGTCGAGCAGTTCTGGATTTCGCCCGTGGATTTTTCTGCAAGAAGAAAGCACATAATTAGTAGAACATGACGCTAATTCTATCAAGTCTGACAAAACACGACTCACTAGGATTGCTTTAAATAATTAACAGATATAGTCTACAAACGTGCCACAAAGGACAAAAGTTATTTTACCGATCCAGGTCCAAAGCTAGCCCCCGATCCTGTTGCAGCGCCTGAGTAAGAAAATCACGCAAATGGTTAATTTCATTTGAAAATAGAATTAAGAAGGATAATAAAGCCCAAAACCCCCTCCCGTATTCTTTTTTTTCCTTATTTTTTTCTCCAAAACCATGAAATTCACAATGAATGTTCAAATGTCTAAAGTTAAGACTGATTAATGGATCCTGGTTCCATCTTTTTTCTCTCCAGCAACAAGTTCAACAATAGGATATTCAATAATTCCAAACAGATTTCAAATCCGGATACGACCAGCTTGTGCACTGAAATAGGGACTGAGTCCTCCAGACATTCCAAATGACCCCTAAAATTAAGGTCACATGAACCAGTATAGAATGAGCAGTTCATGTGAACCAATTAAGGTCACATAGTTTATCCAATTCTCTTAATAATTGAAAATTAGTATTAAAACTAATTTTAACTTTTTCACTAGACTGGTTATTTGGATTCCTATTTACAACCGAAACTCAACTCCTAATAACAATCCAAAGTAGGACAAATAGGAACCTGCAATGTAACAAGTTTGGCTACCATTAATAACGAAAAGCTTCACATCTTCCTTTTTTCACTTATTTGATGAGTGTGATATAGGATAAAAATTAAAAAGCTTTACTTCTCTACTTAACAAAATTGATGTGGTACTAGTCCAAGTTAAATACAAAAAATCAGATTTAGTATCATAAATTAATACTTATATTATAAAATATGTTTCAACAAATTTTCCATGGTTTTATTTATATATTTCACATATGTACAGTTTATTTTTCTTCTATCACTTTGACTCTGGTTAATCTCGGTTAAAGCTTAAAATCTTAAACCTTGCCCTTTACCTTTCTTTAATTCTCCCAATAAACCCTAATTTTGACTTTTTAAGTCTTATGTGTTCTGTTGTCCAACATCAGCCCTAAAAATTGAAATTATTACCAAAACAATTTTCTATCTAAAACTACTATGTAGTCTGTTAATACTTGAAAGTAGGATGACTATGAAGAACTATAAACCAAGACAGTACCTGAACCAAATGGAGTAGAAAAGAGTGAATTTGTAGCTGGAGTTGAACTGAACAACGGCGAAGTGTTACCAAACAGAGAGGGAGTTGATGCAGGGCCAGGTACAGATGTTGCAGAACCAAAAAGTGAGGTTTGAGGTATTGCAGCAGGAGTTGGTGTTGTAAACAGAGATGACAACATAGAAGACGAAGGAGCAGATGATGGTGTACTAAAAAGAGAGAATCCACTTCCTGATGACAAAGATGCAGATGTCTGTGGGGCAGGCAATGCTGCTGGAGTCCCTGAACTCGAAAACAACCCAGCAACTTGGGTTGAGGGTTGTGGATTTGCAGGTAAATGCAACATCGGATGAACTCTTTTTGAGGCAGCCTCTTGTCTTGCAGTTTCACGCCGATCTGCCTCCAAAAATGGGTCATTTGCCTCCCCCCGACGACGCTGATCAGCTAGGTATGATGATTTCATAGATTCAATGTACTGATGAATGCTCTCCACCTGAATAGACATTATTTAAAAACCTGTTATTGTTGCAGCAAATGACAATTGATATTATAGCCTTATAGGGCATCATGGTTTGATTATGCATGAAAGCCCTTTTAGCAAAAGGGGCAACAACATTTACCATCAGCACTACTACAAAAGATTTTGGCCTTCACTCATTACAATAAGCAGGAAATGAAGCATGGCACTGTGTATAGTACTTGCCTATGAAAAATAGAAGATGATTACAAATTTGAAGTACCAAAATACAAATATGGACAAGGTGAATGACCTATATAATAGACTTAGTTAGTTTTAACAAAAAGAGCTTACAATTTGACATGAACCAACAACACATACATAGATTAGAATATGATAAAAAGAAGTGAAAGAGACTAGTGATAAAATAATAAGAGTTCTGCCATCATTAAACATGGATGAGTAACTTTTAATTCATCTGATTCACTACAAAGTGCACATAATCATAGCCGTAAGTTAAAAGGGTAATACTTGTTTTGTTCTACCTTCGCAGCCACATGAACAAAAAAGTCATGCACATTTGTCATGACCTTGGGAAGAGATTGCAATAATGAGGATCCATTACTGGAAGCATTTCTCTCAGAGTCCAAAAGAAGCAGCTGCTCCAACTCTTCAATCCACTGATGGCACTCACAAAGATACTTCTCAAATCTTAAAATTGTTTGCTGTAAAAACGGAGATGGTTTCTTTGGAAGACCACTGTAAAAATCAAAAACAGGCACTATAGATGCAGTTGTCAGTTGGCCACCAGAACCAGGTGCTACAGTCGCTCCAGGAGTCTGTGATGGGGCAGTGGCACTTGATGAACCCCCACTGGGATGAAGGAACCTAGGGCGTAGTATCATAAAGGAACGAACAGCAACCTCTGTGTTGCGTAACATGTCCTTAACAGTGGACATCAGTTCCTGTAGCAAAGTTTTCTGTCGTTCCATTCCAGTGCTAATTCCACCAAGTTCCTATCAAATATCACATGAAAAAACATAGGTTGGTGACTAGATTGCAATAAGCACAATGTTGTGAGAGAAGGGAGCAGTTAACCATGTCAACATTGGAGACAATTCTTAGTTCATAGAAGAAAGTTGACTAACCATACATGAAAATCAGATATGAATGCAAAAATGGATTTAAAAATTAACCTTAGCACACGTCATAAGAAGTATGCGTGCTTTAACATCTCTCAAAAATAGGTTAGCAGGTTCCCACAAAAATTGCATCTGGGACTAGAGTTTATTCGGTCTTAAATAACCTATTTTTGAAGGCTAAATCGCCTACAACATTCACCACCTTTATGTGACAAACAGAATTGAGCAAACCACATAATCCAAGTGTTAACTATCAACTGATTTTGCTACAACTTATTTCTCATTTAATGTTGTAACTGTCAACAAATAAACTTGTTTCCCACTTTACTTCTTAAACAACAAACAATGGAAATTTAAATTTCTTATAAAAGTCAGCTAAGGATAGTAATGTTTGCTCTGTAGGATAACAACAGAAATAATAAGTGGCATTAGGCTATGCCGCTTGCAAAACTTTAGTAAAAACAGATACACCATTAATTGTCAGCTCAACGCCATTAGCATATAAACTACAGCAAAATCAGTCACATGAAATCAAATATGTCTCAACGAGAAACATCAATTCACCTCCCTTTTTTTTTTTCTCTTGAAAGGAGGAAACTATCATTTTACAACATGTTCTAGTAACGAAGAAACAACACTTTACTTGAAACCCAAAAAAAAGGATATTACATAACAAGAATGGGATAAATAACAGCTAATCAATAACCAACAAGAGCATAAAGGGAGCACCTGTACAATATGGCCCGCGTCAAGCTCAAATCCATCGTTGGAAACTGAAGAATCATAGAGACGACTACACTGATCTAGTCTCTGGCTTTCATCCCTATACTCCAATATCCGCTCCCTAAGTAACATATAACAGTTAATTAAGCAACTAAAAGCCGAAACAAGAACCACATAGTAACCACTGAACACAAAAACTTCAACCCTCTCTGGATTTTTGCTGAAACATCGAGGAAAGAGAGGAAACTAAAGCATACTCGATCTGAAGGAGAATCTTCTGGGAGTCAGGATGTAGATCCGCCCAATTGGTACTATAACTAGCGGGTGTTCTATCGTTAGTGAACAAAAACAACTGCTGTTGCGGCTGCTGCTGCTGCTGTTGTGGTAGAAACTGTTGTTGCTGCTGCTGCTGCTGCTGCAGCTGCTGCGGAAGGAACAAACTGGTTTGCTGTGGCTGAAAAGGAGACTGTTGCGGTTGCTGTTGCTGTTGTGGGGTGGCGAACAACGAAAATGACATTGTTGCGTTGAGAGCGCTATTATCGGACTGAAGAAAAGTCCTCCTTAAACCCTAGGCTGAGCGCAGCTAGAGAGAAAGATTGAGGTTGAGCGCCTGACACATGCACGGGATTTTGGGGGGAATTTCAATTGAATTTTTCCTCCGGAAGTTTCAATTTCATATTCACTCGGCTTAAATTGAATTGAGTTGAGCGGAGAGGGTTAGTGAGGAATGAGAATCTTTCTCAAGTCTCAAATCCCGCTCCCCAACACACAAACTCATTCCAATTGGTTTTCAGAGCAACCGAGGCCCGTTAAGCATCCTACTCAACCCTACCTGGTCCATGTAATGAAAATAAAAACCTCAAATGTTCATGTACAAATTTAAAATGTAAATATTAAAACAATTGATTTTCTCTCTTATTATATGGGTTATGGAATTAAAAAAAATCCTGCATAATGAATAATTTTTTATGTTATCAACGTATCGATTATTTTGCTTGTCTAACAAAAGTTTTTATTTTTAATATTTTTAACTATAACTAAAATGTGATCACTATATATATATATATATATATATATATATATATATATATATATATATATATATATATTATTAATAATCAAACATGAGCAGTTCACTATTAAAAAAAATAATGATAGAACAAAAATTATACACTATTATAAAAACAAAATTTTTAGTTATATTTAAAATTTAAAGAGAATAATTAATTAAAATTAAAATTAATGTAAAATTACATTGATAACCTTATAAATGTAACGTATAATTTTTTGTAGTTTTAATTTAATAGATAAATGATTAAAACATCATTCAAAAAATAATTTATGCCAATGGTTTCTTTAAGAAGTAATGAAGAATTATAAAAAAGAACCATGAAAATTGTATTCCGAATAATATCAATAGTTATTATCAATACCATAAAATAAGTATTGTTACAATTTATACATATGTTAGATAAAGTAATATATAAAATTATTGTTTCGATTGTGGGTATGATTTTGCTAATCGATTAAATGAAAATGGTGATTTTCAAACATTTCTTTTACTATATAAAAATATGATCATGAATTAAAAAGAGAAAAAATAATTAATGAATAACGCCTTATTTTTACTATGAAATTTTAAGTAGAAATGTGAGAAAAACATAATTGATACAAATGATTAGATTTAGAATAGTGAATAAAGGTAAAAAAAAAAACAAATTTACTCAAACAGCACTTAAATAAATAAGAGTGATTATTGAATGTACGTAGTGGTTATATTTTTACATATCCACTTAAAATATAATAATTCAATATTTTTTATATTTTTAATTTTTTTATAATTAATTTCTCTCAAATAATTTAAAAATATATTTTTTAACATATTCATAAGTTTATTTTAAATTATATTAATATAATTTAGTTTATACTTAAGTAAAATACATATTTAAAATGAAATAAATTATTTAATATATTTTTAAATTAAGATAAATATTTTAAAAATTATAAATAATTTGTTTAATTAATTAAATAATATATTTTTTATGATAACTATTGTAAAATTTAATATTTTTAATAAATAAATAATTTTTAAATTTAATTATTTTATATTTAATAAATTATTAAATTGACGTTTATATGATCAATTATTTTTCATTAATTATAAATCATTGAGTCAACCTTTATATTATTTATAAGTTTTATAATATTTATCTTAGTTTAAAAAAATTTAAATATAAAATATATATATATATATATATATATTATTTATATTTAGATTAAATTATATTATTATTAACAAAAATAATTATTTTTTTATTTTTATAACTTTTGGGAAATATTTAAAGAGAAGAAAATAAGATAAATGCAAATGAGAAAAACTATTATAATAATAATAGTAGAGAAATAAATAAAAAATATAATAAATAATACAATTTCAAGTAATAATAAAAAAATGTTTTTATTAAACATTTAACATTTTACATGAAATAACTTCATGACATTTAAAATGGTATTTTCAAATTTTAAAAAGATAAAAAAAAATTGACTAATTTTATCTAAACTAAAAACATATTTAAAAAATTATAAAATTTAAACTACATAGAGAAGTTGTTGAACAAATGTTTCCTCGTGTATAGAATCTGTCACTGAACCGATTCCAACACCCCACAAGAAAATGAAACAATATCCTTTACGCACTACTTGAGACGTGTAGGCAAGGTGTAGAGTCAAAGACCAGGTCAAACTTTAAAAGTCAATGAGACAGAAGCTTGGAACCATAAATCAATTACTTCATTAAGGAACCAAACTACATCCATCTTTGGTATGAAATTTGATCAAGTTAAACATAAATTCATAATTATTTAAGACAAACATCTAAAACATTCATCACTATTAAAATTGACATTAAATTAAAAAAAAAAAGGGAACAGTTTTTAGCAGTTACAATAACACACTTTTACGTGAAATTGAGCAAGTAGAAAATTGTGTGGAGAAATTAATTAAGGCATGCAAATGAATTAATGTATGATCAGAGATCTATAAGTTGTCTAAGATTGATTGGTGATATGTATCTCTTGTCTCCGTTAATAAGCTGTTTGGCAAGTATTAGGTTGGCTGCCTCACTTGGATGGTATTGATCCCAGAAAACGTGTTTTTGCCTATCTGAACACAAGCTGGATGTTGGTACACAAGGGATTATCCCTGCAACCTGACCCCCACTTCCAATTCCACAGCAACCTCTACTTGCTGTCGTAAATCCTGCAAAACAAATATTATAAACATGTTAGTTAAATAAATAGGTTATCCATGCATAATAATTATTTCTCTCTTCTGAATGCTTTAAGGACTAAATTGTCACCATATTTATGATAATTTATTATCAGTTCCGACACTAAATCATAGACATTCGCGAGGACGAAGGTTGCTCCAGGGAGGTTGTCATTTAGCTCAGCAACCAAATCCTTCAATCGAGCATTGTATTGGGTTGCAAGGTCGTTAGCCAAATCCACACAATCTTCATCATTCAGCTCATTTATAATCCTCTGGTAAGGTATGCACCCTATTGGCCCAACGTTGCTGATGACAAACTTCCGAGCATCCAGTTGGTAAAGTCTCTATCATAATATCATAAAATCATATTAAATTTTATAGTGTTTCAAAGAGATAAACGTTCACTTATAGCTGATTTTCGATTAAGGGGTGGTTAATTACGTAAAGTTGGATCCTGAAATGATTGATCATGTCGTCGACGAAAGCATCCGGGTTTTGGGAAACTCTAACTCCGGTGGAAACAAAAGGAAGAAGATAATTGTTTAAGAAATCGTTGGACCCAACAATGACGGAGAACAAGGATTTCTTCATTATGTAATCACTCGCCTCCGATTCGCCAAGCAACTTGTTAATCTGTTTTCTTGTTAGGTTGAAGTAATCTATTTGAATATCCATTCCGAGCCTATTCGTCTGAAAAAATATAATAATGCAACGTAACATGGAATAACTATATTGCGTAACATACGTACCAATCATGAAAATAATGTAGTTAAGAAAATACTGACAAATAAGCTTCCTGTTGCATTCAGAATCCCTCCTCCTCCTGAAGCATAGTTCACTCCATTGAGTATGATTTTCCCAGTTGTGTTTGGTGCCAAATATGGGGCTGCATAATTTGTTTGTCCTAATTCCTCTCCTAAGAAGATTAAAAGTCCAATAAAGAATTAATAGAAATCAACTGATACAATAGAAAAGGTTAATATTGTTTATTAACTAGGACATACGTACCAACAATATCACTAATGGTTCTTCCATTGGTGAAACGTCCAGTGGGGTTTCCTCCAGAGGCCTTGAAATCAATTCCATTGGGGGGAACGTTTGCTTTGGAAAGAGTTGAAAGATAGTTGTTGTTTCCTGCATCCACCAACGAGTCCCCGAAGATGAAAGAGGCTGCTAACTTAGCATTCTGAGCAGCAACATTACCATGAAACCTCAGATTGACAAGCAAAAGCAGAAGAGCAAAGGTGGTATGATATTTCAATGCCATAGCTTAAAATTATGTTCCTCTAGTTCTTTTCACGAGAAGAAGCTTATAAGGACCTTAGTTTTTTGACAAGAGAAAACTTGAAAGCTTAGTTATATTATATTGTATATATATGCTTTTGATCCCTTTTATCATGTTTTTTATATATAAATAATGTAACGAAGTGGACAGTTTGAACAACAAATTTCATGTGGTAGGTCATCAACATATGTAAATGTGAAGATTTCTGAATGTGGTGTTGATGACAAAAGCTAGTCCTGCAATTCAAAGTCACAGGGGTGCCTTATGGTGATGACGTGTTGGCGAAGACGGTTCTGGGGATTAATTAGATTAGGTGTTGTTTGGTCACCATAACTAAAACCTAGTTTACGTTGAGAATTTAGAAGCTATATGACTCTAACTTAGAGTTCACTTGTGTTGCATTACAGTCCATCTGTCTCCAACAACTTGGACTTTACTTGAGGCACTATGTTGTGCGGACAAGACAATGTCTAAAATTGATGAAGTAATTTTTTTTTTACTGCAGATCCTAAGTCAAACGCCCATCATGTTGATTTTCTTTTATTAAGTTGTTGCTTGTTAACTTTGTAAATAAAAAATAATATGTTTAACTATTTTTTAAAATTATATATTTAATAATATGAATTTTTAATGTAAAATTTATTACAAATTAAATCTTATATAATTAATATTATTTTTCGATTTAACCAACCACCATAAAAGTATAGTATGCATCTCCAGGAGTAGTTGCACACGCTTATCCTTTTGAATTTTTTAGTTCTTCGTTAGAAAAAAAAGAAAAAAGAAAAATTTATTTGATCCAAAAGATCGTATTAAATTTATTTAAATGAAAAGTAATAAATTACACTACTCTTGGAATTTTACACTCATATTCTCTGTCTTTTTAACTTTATTTTTAAGTTTATAAATAATTTCAAAAAAATGTTTTTAGAATGAATTAAAAAAATATTGTTTGATAATTA